AAACAAAATACATCATTCATATGTTAAATAGAAAGAGGCATATAAAAAATACGAAGTTTGAGTCTTTGACAATGCAACATTATGTGGGAGAAAAGCAATTCATAAGTGTTCACCTATGCCAAAAAGCAATATAAAAAGATAAAAGGCATTTATTATGGTCCATCTAGGAACAACCATACAATGGGAAAGCTCTATAATTCATAACAAAAATACCATCTGAAGAAGTGAAGATAAAGGTCCTAATCCCCACTCACCGCTCCCATCTTCCACATCATTCTGGTATTCATGCACACGGATGTTGCATGTACTACTTAGATGCATTAACATGCATGCCAACGTTGCTTACATATGTGGATGTTTATGCATGATGCTGCTGTAATAACCACAATATAAACAATCACAAAGTCAAATAAATCTTTACTTCTCTTCTTTCTCAATCTTTTTTAAAGCAGGATTTTAAATAGCTGTTTTTTTCTGTTTTTCCACCCAAAACAGCATACTTAATAAGCTCACATGCCATTACCATGTCTACATGATTGTCAATACACTAAGATGAGGACATGCAGCAGGGAAGCACCTTCTCTATTTTTGCTAGGTACCTGTCTAGGCAATTATTTTTTATTAAAAAAAAGAATAGTAATTTTAACTTATTTCCCCATGAGCTAGCTTGTTTTCATAGTCGAAACAGCAACTAGCAAACATAATGAAAGCAACATTATATTTGCCTATCAAAGAAAAATAATAGTGGGTGGAGGCTAGAGACCCACTATGTCTATATGAGAAGAAGAAACAGAGAGAATGTGATACAGTATGGGTAAATAAAATAATGGAAAGAGAAAACAAACAAAAAATTGTGTAACAAGACAGATATATGGTGCAAAAAGAGCATGTGTTCATGTCTATGTTTGTTAATTACAGGGAAAATAATATGTAATATATTCTTCTAGTCATAGAAGGAAAAACAACAAGTAGCAGTTACAAAGAGAAGAATATTAACAAGGCAAATCAATGCACATGCACACGTACATTGCATATGTATGTATAGGGAAAGAGATCATACTGTTTTGATCACAAAGACTTAGAAGAAAATAGAAGAAGAAAGCCCTACTTCTGTCTTGGTGGTGCATCTACAATGTTTTCACTCTTTTGCACTTGTACAATATGATGTCATTGTTCTATGCCTAGAGTGGCAACACCCCACATACAATATAGCACAAAGAAGAGGCACATAGCTATCCAAAAAATTTACTTACAACCTAGGAGATGCTTCAACAACTATGTATGTCTAATTAAATTATAAAACATTTTGCACTTATTTCCCCACCCTTTGCTTTGTGAGGATGTAAATGTTCCTCTGTTTTGCATCCCCTATTACATTATGTAGACTTTTACAATCTTCATCCATGAGAGGCCAACACAAACCCATCCACTCATGTAGCTTATTGACTGTATGTGTGGAAGTACCCTATGATTAATTAGTTCTTGGTTATCAACTCATTGTCTACAAATTAATTAGTTATCAACTTATTATACTCAATACTTCAGAGGCATGAGATGAGGCACTAGGACACTAGACAGAAGAAGCATAAGCTAGTTGTTCTCTGGATTAAGCATTTTTAAGGGGAAAAACATGAAATAGCAAAAATTAAAAACTGGAAAAGATGATGGCATAAATGAAGTATAAGAATATTATGAGATAGAAAGAAACGCTTTGCATTCTTATTAAATCCTTAAATAACTATTTCCATCCCATAAAGACTGTTCTCTTTAAAAAAAAAAGACAGATTTTAAGAAGATAGCTATTAATGTGTCCTCATTCATCCAAACTGGTTTTCAATTTGCTCTCCCATCATTAGGAGCTACAATGTAGGAGGGAAGAAAGACTATCTAAGGTTGGTCTCAATTATCTGGGGTCGTGAGAAGGGTAGAATGGGTAAGGTCCGAATCTTTGTTTTTTTGGCACAATGTAGGAGGAAAACTCTGAAAATTTGCTATCCAGTTCTTATAAACTGCAAAGGGGAAGAAAT